CATATTTTCAAACGTTAGGGGAAGGTACTATACTGTTATTTTATATTTCTCTAAGCTGTGCACCGCCACACGTATTCCGTGAGTGAGGAAAAGGTAGGTAGATAATAAACTTTATTAAAGATCCAAAGAGGAATCACTGGCCTAGGCTAGGCCTCCAGGAGCCGTCGTTCGCAGAGCGTCGTGCGATGCCCCTCACCAAACAATGTATGGCAGCGCACGCTTCACAAAAGACAAAATGCAGCAAGTAGTGAGTTAGCTTGAACATACCTATCAAACACCTGTGGTGGTGCACGCTTTATAGGAGACAAGAGCTAACACGCGCTGTACAAAAACCAAAGGCTAACAATGTGGTAGCGCCCCCTCACTAATCTAGTAGCGTCCCCTCACTAAGCTATTTGGGGAGAGGGCGTGAGCCCTCACTTTCACGAAGGTGGCGTCCTTGTGGGGGTTTTTGAATAACCAAGTGTACTGTCCTACCAGAGTCTCGGCGATGATTCGCCGAGAGTTGTGTAAGGGCGGAGCACCGATGTAATGAGAAAAGGCACCAAAGTCCCGCCAAACGTTCTGAACTGGGCTTGCGGTGTTAGGCACCATCGAATCTGCTGAGTCCCGCAGGGTCGCTCTACGGAAATCAGTTCATCTCTAAAATGCTTTCTTTTTTAAAACTTTGATGTCTGTACTTACGTAACTTCTGCACAGTCTGTAAATACAAGTTTTTATGAGCCCTGCTATAACTTCTCCAGCGTTTTTGCTTCTTCTTCAAGCGACCAGCAAGTCAACCGCCGCTATTTGCATGGCAAATAGCGGCAGAACGTTTTCTTTTCCCACTTTGCTTTACCACCTCGGGTGGTACGTCTCGGTCGCCGCATGGTGAGAGTTGGTTTCTACAACATGGAAAGAACTAGAATTTGTTTGCCTGTTAAACGCAGCCATTTTTGTTTTTTGATCACTGCTACCAGCACACCGAGCGTTTCGTGGTGTTGCAAATAGTGGTGAGAAAATACCACGTTGTTAGATTTTTGCGTCCTGTAAATCGCGAACCGCCGCATAGCGTCTATTGTAAAGGGAAGGCTACCGAACTGTGAATCCTTGTTTTTTAAAAGTGTGCACCACCACATGTATTCCATTAGTGATTAGAAAGCACCACATTGTTATCTTTTGTATTTTGTAGTGTGAGCACCGCCACACACAGTTTAGTACAGTAGTAGTTAAGTACACACAGTTTAGCACAGTAGTAGGGGAAGCTAAAATATTTGAAATTTTCGTTTTTTAAAAGTTCACCACCACGTACATCCAACTGGTGAGGGAAAACCACCACATTGCTTGCTTTCATCTTGTGTAAAGTGTGTACCGCCACACGCTGTCTCTCAGTAAGGGGAAGCTACCCCATTGTAAATTTTTGTTTTTTTGTTTTCTCAAAGATTGTTCTGCCACATGTATTCCATTAGTAAGGCGAACCTACCACATTGCTAGCTTTCGTATTTTCCGAAGTGTGCACCATTACATACTGTTTCTTAAGGAGGGGAAGCTACCACATTGTAAATTCTTGTTTTTTTTTTGTTTTTTAGGTGTGCACCGCCACGCACTGTCTATTGATGAGGGGAAGCTACCACTTTGTAAATTTTGGTTTTTTAAAAGTGCACCGCCACATGCGTTGCATTAGTAAGGGGAAACCACCACATCGTTAGCTTTCGTCTTTTGGAAAGCGTGCGCCGCCACACACTGTCCATTAGTGAGGGGAAGCTACCCCATTGTATAGTATTGCTTTTTTAAGAGTGCACCGCCGCGTGCATGTCATTAGTGAGGGAAAACCACCACATTGTTAGCTTTCGTCTTTTGTAAAGCGTGCTTTGCCATACAGTGTCTAATGGTTAGGGGAAGTTATCACTTTGTAAATTTTTTGTTTTTAAGAGTGCACGGCCACAAGCATTCCATTAGTGAGGGGAAACCATTACATTGTTATCTTTTGTCTTTTGGGAAGCGTGCACTGCCACACACTGTCTATAAGTAAGTGAAAACTACCACATTGTAAATTCTTGTTTTTTTTTGTTTTTTCAAAGAGTGAACCGCCACTTTTGTTCCATTAGTGAGGAGAAGCCACCATATTGCTAGCTTTCGTCTTTTGTAAAACGTGTACCGCCACACACTGTCTATTAGTGAGGGGAAGCTACCACATTAAATGTTTTGGTTTTTTAAAGGGGCCACTCGCCAGGTTTGACAATTTTGAGCTGACAAGCGCAATGCGTAGATGAGCCGTTCATGATCACGTCTACCAAAATTCGCAACGCTACGCGCCGCGACAATGGGTCAAATTCCAAGATGAACGCTGCTCCTCCTTCCTTTTGCGGGAGCGTGCCCAGAGAATGAAGGCATGACGTGCGCGTATGAATGGCCCTACGTACACGGCAATGCAGTGACGTTAGCTCTTTACGTAGATGACTATCCTCTGACGTTCCCAACAGGGGCACGTGACATGGCGAGAATTATGAAACACAACATGCGTAGTTTATGTATTTGTTGTTTGAATAGCTTAACAAATCTCTAAATAAATATTGAGATGCAATAAGGTAATGTGAGCGTTCATTTTCTTCATTTTTCTCGTGAATCGCAATGAGATGCGGGGCTCATGTGCCGGCGTTTCGCGTGCGTTTGTGTCCCCGCGGTTGAGATCAGCGCATCGAGCACACGACAACTGTGTAACACTCCTACGCGTTCGCGCACAAATTTGTGCTCATTTGTTCTTCCGTGTCTAAGCCAGCATATCCAAACCATCCTGCAGAAACAAGCAGTAGACCTCAAAACAACGCTGGTCAACAAAAGAAAAAAAAAACGCCGCTCGCGAGCACGTGGCTTGGGCTTGTTTGGGCACGTCATGCGCACGTGACCTCTTAGTCGGATGCCGGAATGGGTAGGAAAGAGATTTGGCTTGTGAAAGCTATGCAGACGAGAGGCAAGGATTCCGAGCTCATCTCCTGTCATCCTCGTCTCACGCCGCTCTAAAAAACAGTTTTCTCAGCTCGTAACTAACTGATTCAAAAAATTGTCTGGCAAAATGTTCCTCATCGGACACCCAACAACTTCCATGGTCTAACTAGAATTTGGTGTGAGGCATAGTTAGCGAGGGAAAGCTACCACATTGTAAATTTTTGGTTTTTTTTTCAGAGTGCACCGCCACATACATTCCATTAGTGAGAGGAAACAACCACATTTTCATCTTTCGTCTGTTGTAAAGTGGGCACCGCCACACACCGTCTCTTAGCGATGGGAAGCTACCACAATGTAAATTTTTGTTTTCCGCTTTTTTAAAGAGTGTGCCACCACATGTATTCTAATAACGAGGAAGAACCACCAAATTGTTAGCTTTCTTATTTTGTAAAGCGTGCACCGCCACACACTGTCTCTTGTTGAGGGGAAGCTACCACACTGTAAATTCTTGTTTCTTTTTGTTTTTTAAATAGTGCACCACCACATGCGTTTCATTAGTAAAGGAAAACCACCACATTGTTAGCTTTCGTCTTTTGTAAAGCGTGCGCCGCCACACACTGTCTACTAGTGAGAGGAAGTTGCCACGTTGTAATTTTTTTTTTATTTTTTGAGAGTGCACCACCGCTTGCATTCCACTTGTGAGGGGAAACAACCACATTGCTAGCTTTCGTTTTTTGTAAAGCGCGCACCACCACACACTTTTCATGAGTGAGGGGAATCTATGACATTTTAAATTCTTGTTTTTAAAGAGTGTAGCGCCACCTGTATTCCATTAGTGAGGAGAAACCACCACATTGTTAGCTTTCATCTTTTGTAAAGCGTGCACTACCACACGCTGTCTATTAGTGAGGGGAAGCTGCCACATTGTATGTGTTTGTTTTTTTAATAGTGCACCGCCACATACATTCCATTAGTAAGGGGAAACCAGCACACTGTTACCTTCCGTCTTTTGTAAAATGTGCATTGCCACACACTGAATATTAGTGAGGGGAGCTACCACATAGTACAATCTTGTTACTTTAAGGATTGCTCCGCCACTTGTATTGTATTTGTGAGGAGAAACCACCACATTGTTGGCTTTAGTCTTTTATAAAGTGTGCCCCCTACACACAGTCTATTAGTGAAGGGAAGCTACCACATTGTAAATTTCTGTTTACTTAAGAGTGCACCGCCACATGCATTTCATTAGTGACGGGAAACCAGCACATTGTTAGCTTTCGTCTTTTGTAAAGTGTGCACCGTCACAAACTGCCTATTAGTGAGAGGAAGCTACAAAATTGTGAATTCTTGTTGTTTTAAAGAGTGCACCGCCACATGTATTCCATTGGTGAGGAGAAATCACCACATTGTTAGCTTTTGTTTTTTGTAGAGCATGCACCACCACACGCTGTCTATTGTTAAGGGAAAGCTACCACATTTCAATTTTTTTGTTTTTTCAAAGACTGCACCGCCACATGCATCCATTAGTGAGGAGAAACCGGCATTGTTAGCTCTGGTCTTTTTTAAAGCGTGCACCGCCACACAATGGCTATTAGTGATCGAAAGCTACCACATTGTAAATTCTTGTTTTTGTTTTTTAAGGAGTGCAGCGTCATATGTATTCCACTAGTGAGGAGAACCCACCACACTGCTACCTTTTGTCTTTCTAAAAGCGTGCACCGTCACACATTGTCTCTTTGTGAGGGGAAGCTACCACACCGTTGATTCTTGTTTTTTTTCTAAAGTGTGCATGACCACACATTTCATACTCGGGAGGGGAAGCTACGGCATTGCTAGCTTTTGTATTGCGTGCAGTAGCACACCTTGCCTATTAATGAGGGGAAGGTACCACACTATTATATTGTCACATGTAAAACGTGTAGCGATAGTCGTTGTCTATTAGTAAGTGGAAGCTGCCATGCTGTTAGCTTATGTCTCTTGAAAACCTCGCGTCGCCACACGGTGTGAGGATAACTTCATTGTTAACCAATGGAAAAACTGCTAAAGGCATTGTTTTAATGGCCGTGGGGACATACCTCTGGGATTTCAGCTCCCTCGTTCAAGATGTTGACGAAAGAAGACAGGATGTTCGGATGAAAAAGTGCTTCAGGGCGCTTCAGGTCACCAGCAACGTGATGCATCATTGTGAAAACGCAGTCATTTACGAGAACACTGAAAAGGAAAGGAGGATAGGGCACGTGATGCTATACTTTGGCTTTGACAGACTTTGGATAGGCTAGGAAGGGGTTTTGCTTTAGAGTTTTTACATTATATAAAATGTTACAGCGAATGCATCCGCTCTGAGACGCATGCGTTTAAGCAAACTATTCCAGATGCATCGCGATTTACCTGTTCTTCCGGTAGTCCTTCAGTACTGCACCATATTTTTCCATCACCTCGACTGTTGCAAATCTGGAAGAGCAGAAACAAAATGCAGCATTTCGTCAATAAACTTTGAAGAAGTTGAAGAAGTGTCAGACCTACTTAGGACTAACAAGCTTCAAATGTGTGTACTGACAATGTAGTTAAACTTTGATTTACAATTTCCGTTTTGAAACTCACGTTTGAAGTCGAGTACATATGACGAATCCCTAAATATTGTCTCCCCTCGTTATTTTTAGCTTTTAGTACTGTGACAAACATATTTGCTTGCGATAGTACTTTTTTTGCTAAACTGAACGAAATTAGGAAAACAAATACATCTCAAATGTATTTGTTTCATTGATATGGAACATTTAAAAATAATTTTTACAGGTATAGGGAATAAAAAATACATCTAAAGGCAATGCTTACATAATAGTGATGATATCTGACATAGAACACACTCTAAAATGTTTACTCGCATTCAGGAAATCGCGGCTAACCTGTACTGAAAAATTGTAGTACTGTAGTTACTTTACATTTTTACGTTTTTTTGTTTGTGAACTATATTTTTATGTGTTTCAATCGCAATAGTAGTATAGGCTCATTTTGTCAAACAACGAACGCTATTTTGTTTTTGAGTAAATACGCTGCTATGTTTCTTTCTCATGTTCACAAACTACCCTATCGGCTTTTGAGAATTTTAGCAGAAGAAAAAGATGTGGAAGTAAAACATACTGTGACAGATGACCGAGGATGTCGATCTCCAGGCCACCTTCAGTTTTCTGGGCATACTCTAGAATTAGAAGCAACAAATGGTTGGTGATGATCAGGTCTACGAGTGCCTGGATCGGCATGGCGCTCCACTTGCGAATCAGCAGTAGCGGGATATTACGGAGGTCTTCTAGACGTGCCAGTGAAACTGCGAACAATCAGTTGAACTCTTATTATGAAGGAGGTCAAATTCAGTTGATCGATGGTCGATTATTCACGAGTGTCTGTAGAAGTGGTAAGCTTTCGCAAGTTACACGTGAAAAAATAATCTACAGCTTTTATTATCTGTAGCATTTCTCACCGCAGAGCCGACGCATGTCGTCACCGACTCCCTTGCAGCGGCTGTTGTACGTTCCAATGGCGGCGATGAATTCGCGAAAAGCGCGAACCACAAGATGGTACCTGCATCGCAACACGACGTACGTCACGACGATGACTTGTGCGATGGTGGGAACAATTGTAAATGACTAAACATGCATTCCGTTTGAAGCAGTGCAAGAAACGGTTCAGCAAATGACGAAATAAGTGAAATATTTTGGGGCTCAGTAGTAGCAGGGCTTCGACATTCTTACCATGTGCTCCATATGTAGTAGGTGATTCTGGATAAATTTTTTGCTGCTCTCACGTTCGTCATGCAACGTACCCATCTCGAGATGAAATAAGCGCAGTATGCACGATGACTTAGAAATAATACAGAACCGAGCGCTTATTAGCAACTGAAAGTTCTTATTTCTGAAAGAACATTCTTGTATATTCATCACGTAAATGCACGTCACCAAAAACCACCCATATTATCAAAACAGCCTGGATGAACAAAAGACTGCTGTGAAAACAGATGGCACACAGCAGTCCTGTGCATTGTGCATATTGCGCCTGTTACATCGTGAACCTGGTGTTTATCGCTGTATATATCATAATCATCACCCAAAACCTTTAGTAACATGTGAGACCAAGAGCCAGACAAACATCTACATATATTCATTGAAATATTTCTCTATCTTTCTTTACTAACATGCCTAACTGAAAGTCGTCCTATAAAGTATCTCAGTACTTGAGTACTTCTGTACTTTGCCCTAACGCAAGCTTGTTTGCCGTGGCTAGAACCAAAACTATGACCACAAGTTCCGCAGCGCAACGTCGAAAATGTGATATTACCACCATTGTAGTGATGCGAGAACCAATACGCACCTCTTTTGGAGTAGCTTGGATCCTTCGGCCGATTGGTGCTGCGACATGTCTAGCTCCTGGCAGACCGTTATGGCCTCGAAGACGAGCAGACCGACCACCTCAATCGAGAGCACAGGACGCACGTGGTGCAGGGAGAGGCCCAATGCGGTGGCCAGTCCCGTGAAGTAGCCCACCACCCACAAAAAGTGGCAGCGGTCGATCAAGCTCGATCCCTGCTCGTGGTTCACCCGCTGAGGAAATGAAGTGAAATACATGCAACGTGGTCCAAAACGCGGCAATCGTAGTGCGCGCAGGCTCACGCACAACTTTGGGCTCGTCACTTTCAAGTCTGTGAAGTTATGTAGGATGGCAGAGCACTCTAGGATCGGCGGGAAGGATTTGCTAAATTTCCTTAGAGAGGTAGAGACAAATAGAGGATAATGTATTTCGAGGAAATGAGGGTCGCCCTGATGTAAGAGCAGATTAGCCTGCTTCTCTGATCAGCGAGAAAGGGAAGATGACAAAGAGGATGACAAATACAGTTTCTTGAAAACATTTCTGCAGGGTCACGTTGCCCGTGCGAAATAGGGCGCTGACAGTGTATGGGTTATCGCAGTTGATATTGAACAACACGCCAATGAATTTGTTGAAAAAATTTTCAGGTTATGCTTTACGAGTGTTTTGTTTTTAATGAGGCTCTTTTTGCGTTAAACGCATCATATGTTGGCATGCTTAAAGCCAAGACGATTGAAGTTGAAGCGGGAGCTCCCTTATTTAGGATTGGTAAATAATTATTCCTTCTATGCGCGTATGCATATCTCTCAACATGGCGGTTATGTCTACACGTTCACACATTACACGTAACAACGCACGAATTTATATCAATGCATGACTCCAGGTACGTCTGCTGCTTGTCTTCGGAAGGTGAGCGTCTTCGGAAGGTGAGCATCTTATCGCTGTTGTTTATTTTGAGACTCGGCTCTGGGAAAGCGTAATATCATTTTGCTGATAGTTAAGTGTGATGCTTAGTGCAATCAAAGCTTTTCTCGTTGCTACGAAGAAGAAAGCAATTAGGTGCCTTATGAAAAACAAAAACGAAATAACGCGCTCCTGTAAAATACACAGAAGAATCAGTAGTCACTGTCCTTGCTCACCATAAGCTCTATCACCAGGGGTCCGTATCCGCTGTGCAGAAAGCTGATTGTGAAGTTCTGGAGCATGTTGCTGTTGGAAAGTAAAGTGGTGGAAGAAATATAATGCGCAAGTGCGACACTGTGAGAAAGGAAGCAGCAAAGCAGTAAGCAACGAGCATGGTGACGCGAGGACAAAACACGGCAGCAACGTGACAACCGTGGGCATCCCGAAGAAAGCTTGTTTTCGAAAGCGGAAATCCCATTATGCGTATTGTTATGGAAACATACGGCGGTAATGTCAGGAGCAGCTGCTATGAGACTCGGTACCGACGCTGCGCTGATTAGATCTCGAATCTTCTGTCTCTTTTCTGTTCGCTTTTATGCGTTTTGAGATGCTTAGAGACAGCTTGTTGAGTAGGTTATATATATATATATATGTATATATATATATATATATATATATATATATATATATATATATATATATATATATATATATATATATATATATATATATATATATATATATATATATATATATACACACATTTCGAAATGTATAAAAACGCTCTATAACTTCCCTCGAGTCTGAGTACCTGCTTTTGCAATGCAAGCGGTACCTTCTTGCATTGCTGCGTTGCGCTGAGTAGCAGGCCAGAAAATAGATCCAGGCTGACCCCCAGCTTTTCTGCCACAATAAACATTTTTCTCTCTCCCTCTCTCTTGCGCGTTCGAGTGAAAAAGTTTTGAGCAGTTCATAGGGTACTAGTTAATGTTTTTTACCTTTGCAAAACGAACGTTGTTGGCTACACTAGGGAGTATTTTTTTTATTCGTACGTGTAACAATAAACTCTTTCTTTTTTTCCATTTGCGTCAAATATGTGAAGGTCACTTGCACAACCAGAGCGAAAAATTGTTCGCACATGCTTATGCTGTTACTTGCTAGCTTGTTTCAAATAACTGTTTCATTATTAGTTTTCTAGTCCAATGAAAACCTGTTACCAAATGTAGTAACATTGATTTCCGCATCGTATTATGGATGCACAAACATTGGGATAAAATGATGAAAGAGCAACGCTATCCTTAGGCCAGTTACCGGGTTCCCAACGCAGACGCCGTCATATAAGCGTGTTTACCCAAAGGACGCACTGCGCTTTGTGCAAGAAAAGGGCGAACCATAAGAGAAATCGCAGGAAGACGGCATAACGGTAGGCTTATGAAGTGCAGCATGCCCCACATCTCTGCACACCGGCTTAACAGGCATCAGCCTAACGCTCTTTATACCACGACATATTCGTATAAAGGGTTAGATAAAAAAAGGACAAAGGCAAGTTGTAAGTGCACAATGGGACATTCGCGTGATCAGTGTTTTTACGTAACCGGCCAAAGTGGCTGTTTTCACGGCCATTGCGGGCTCTTTCTGACTCACCGTATAACTGGGGCCTATTGCATCTCCTTTACTCCGGTGTGGCAGAAAGATAAGATGCGAACGACTAAGTGCAGACACGCTTACGGCGTCCTGAGTTTTATTTTGAGCTCTTCATAAGAGTCACCATTTACTTTCGCAAGGCTAATAGAGGGGCTTTTCAAATGGTACATCGCTCATTCACGAAGAGTTCCAATTAAAACTTGTATTGTGATAGTACATTATGACTTGTTTTTTATTTTTACGGGTGAAATGTAGTCATTACGAGTCTTGCAGTGATATTGGAATCACTTCGTTTCCTTTTCTTTGAATTGCTCTTTCTTTCTGAAAAAAAAAGGTGCCTTCATAACTATGTAGGGCGCAATACTAATGCTAATTTAACCTAATACTAATGCTAATTTTCCTTTTGCGGCTACTTGCTGCTATTACTTCGGGCAAAGAATTAGCGCCCCGGTGCTTTAATTGAGATTATATTTTGTTTCTAATTCTTTGAATGTTGCCATTTTATTTTGTGCGAATCGTTCAGTAATCAGTACGATCTTAAAAAAATGGTTTACGTAGAGCCGGTTGCACACCTTTACGCTCGCTACGCATTCAGTGTTAAGGAATATAATGCCGTTAACACTGAGCGACTGAGCATTCCCCCTCTCCCCTTAAAATAAAATAGAAAGAGGAAACACAATGAGGATCATGCATTGCAATGACATAAGAAGAACGGACTCGGCACACTGTGCACATACACAAACCACCGGCACGAAGAAGCTCACAAACAGCAACGAACGATGACTGCAGACTTGTGGCCAGAATACCCTTCCAGACCGGCACCCTCCTTCTCGCTCGACTGCTAAGTGAGATCTGTGATAGGCTGAAGCAATGTCATCTTTAACCTAAGTCGTTTCCACAAACCTAAGGGATGCGTTGGAGGGGAGCGTGAAGCGCTTGGCTGGCGCTAGGAAACGTGAGAGTCGGAGATTACACTGCTGCAGCAGATCATAACTCTCACTCGGCAGTCTCGGCAAGCGAATGGGTGACAAGGAGACGGCCCGGTAAGGACGGGTAATGGCGGCGGGACGTCGAGCGAAGGTGTCGTCTCCGTCGCAAACGTGGGAGCCACGGTCGAGCGACGCCCCGGGGCACGTTAACCGACAGAAATTCAGCGACTCTGCGCTCCGTCATTTGCTATTCTCGCTGGGGACTGTACTCTGCGTACAACCTCGCGGGCTGCAATGTACTAAAACAACCACTTGTCACTGTACATCGAAAAAGGACGCCTTAATCTCCCTTTCTACGTTATAACATTTTTTTTTCGCTTCTTGGCTAACCTTATCCTAGACAGTATTATTAGTAGAGGCGTCCTTGCTGAACAGTATTTATCTCTCGTGATGCTCCAACGCAAAGCGTAGTCGATGAATGAAACAAGCTAGAATTTATTCATCCTGAAGACAAAGTTAGGCTGGGAAAGGAAAGTTGCCAATTGGTTCTAGTAGAACAAAACCCCGATGAAGTACGCAGAAGCCACCGATGACCAAGCGACATCGCTGAATTTTTGTGTACTAACGCACCCCTGGACGGCCGTGTGAACTGTATGAAACATTTGCAAAGATGCGCGTGCGATAACTGTACAATAACGGGGGATTTGACGAGTAAGAAAAAAAAACATTTAAGAAGGCAGTGGGAAGGGGGAGCCTGAGCGTAGAAAACTTACGAGGGGCCCAGGATGTATAGCTTTTAAGCTGGGTGTAAAAGGATGATAAAAAAATGACGATGTGCGAACGGCTTAGGGATCTGCGAATTTTGTCATCAAGGCCAGAACAGAATAGGTGCGAGCCGCGCTAGCCAGCGGCCAGCACCCGGCCGGGGCCCAATGGTGGCTACATGGCCCCCCGTGGATGCAGTTTACCGTCCACGCCCTTTGTAATCTTCCGCAACTAGCTTCCATACAAGTCCGGCCCGGCGGTCCAAAGGCACGTCGGTTGGGAGGGTCGTCCGTGATCTGGAAATCTCTTCAACAAAAGAAGAAGAAGACAACAGTCTGGCGAGCGTTGGGTTGGGAGAGGGGGTCAGACATCGAGTGAGTGATCCATCGGACATGTGGCAAAATACAAGGAGCATGTTGAAAGAAAGTTAGTGGATAGAAAAAAAGACTACAGGAGAGACGCCTGCTATTGTAAGATTACACTGAACCGTGTAGAAGAACTGTGCACAGAATGACTTTGCTGGATTCAAGGATCTGTGAGAAATGGTCGTACACTTTTACTTATTCGTGAAGTAGTAACGAGTATTCTTGCATCACTAAGTTTGCGTGATGTTGCGATTGAAATAAATGCGGAAAGCGTGGCTTTCGGTCCCAGTCATACTCTGCAATGCTTTGATGGTTGCTTGATGAATCTGTGCTATGAGCTGGTGCCACCCTAGCTCTAGAGTTATGCTCCTGCTTGCACTGCCGCGCCGCGTGCGCCTATGATCTGCCAGTCATGCCTGGCATTGAGAACACACTCACGTGGCGTGATTGCGCAAATGAGAGCAAGATTCTAGCGCCACGTTGACATCGACTGAAAGAACAGGTGGCACAGATGCCCGCTGACGAGGCATATCGAAAATGGAATGTGCCAAAAACTATGCTTTCCGCAGCTTGCGTTTCTTTCCATCATGATAAAACGTTCAAAAGTTAACTTTTGTGCATTCTACGAAGCGGTTTTGCTAACAGATCACTGAATCGTGATTACTCATTGTTAAAGCATTTTTACTGGTAACCACTTTAAATACCCCTTTTTTTTGCCCGAAAGCTTTTAAAAGGTCAGTTTATGAAGAATTAGCCTTGCTAGTGTAGGTTCCTATAGTTAAAATGTTAAAGTCAGTCTTCCTCGCCTCCAGCTGTAAATACTTTATGAGGACAAACGTACTTGATTTAGGCAAACACATGGACGTGGATGTGACCTACCTTCTGTTGCTGGACGCTTCTTGACTCGGGATGCGTGCGTGCGAGTGTAACCTTGCATACCTCGCGAAGCGTATAACAAAAAGGTCACCAAAATGACACATTAGGGAATCAACAACACAGGCTGTTGAAAGAGAAATCTTAAGCATCGCACACAACCGACAAACTTTTATGACGACTTATGCTGGTGGTTTAAACTACTTATATCCACCATATTTAGTGGACAGTTGTCGGCGTTAACTGCGTTTTCGAGGAGAAAATAGCCACGTTGCGTGGATTAATGTGCCTTACATGAAATGGGAGCAATGGCGTATACAGGTGCAATGCGATTGCAAGCGGCCTTTCACGGCCGGATTGTCTACCTGATGTCAGCGTTGGACGGGACGTGCGCTGATGAGTCCAGGAGTACCAGAGTCTTCTTGCGGTCCCACACGGGATCCCGAAGTGCGCAACGAGATTCAAGCGATGCCACAGCTGCCTCTAGGCAAACAGATGACGTGCACTTTCCGCCCTTGAGGTGACTTTTGCTCTTTCGTGACATGGCAACCAGGTTGCGTTGCTTGGAGCGAGCGAGAAGCTCGTCTTCGTACGACGAGTCACTGCCAGATGGACTGTCGGCGGAGTGCATGGCCCTATGCTTGGCTGACGCTTTGTGGTGCGGATCTTTGATGTGCTCCTTCACCTGTAACGAAGTACGAGATCTACAATTACTGGCACGTTAGCCATACAGGCGTAGTCGGGACGTCACTCTCATTTATTTTTTGATTGGCATGTATGTATACGTCGACAGCGCTGTTTTTATTCGCTCATTAGGGTCAGCCTTTCTCAAGCACTCGGCAAGTGCGGCAGTATAGTATTGTGTAGTTTTTCTTCACCCCCCTACAATATTGCCCACTTGGGCGATGTTGGTTGCACTAATAACTAACTAAATAACTAAATAATTAAATAAATAGATAAATAAATAAATAAAAATGAGGCAAGTGATACCTAAGCGTTACAGAAAACTGTACGTGAACGGCTACATCATAAAACAGCGCACACACGCACTGATAAACGAAGGAGGGAACCAAGGATACGATGACGTGTCATCGATCCTGTTCTTTATTTCTCTTCATGTGTGTGGGCTGTGCCATGATGAAAATTTCCGCCATCTTTTGTCTTCGTGTGTGTGCTGATTTATTAGGAAGACCTACGAACTTGTCCAAATAGTTCCTTGCCAACGGCTTGTGTAGCACGTTGATAACTGTAATGTTGTAACGGTAGGATAGAAGAATATCGCTGTTCCGTACATTTACAAAGTGTTTGTAGCCGGAGCATGGAAAATGCTTTCACGGCCCCGATTTAAACTAGATGCCTGTACAACAACTCAAGGTGTCAGATGCTTGAGAAGCTGTCGCATAATCTTTGCCCACACGATTTAGTGGTGACGAAATAGCTTATAAAAATGGCTCGTAACTGGGGGAAAGTCTGCACGACAACAAGCTCTGACCCGTGTACACAAATAACCCCCCTAAATGAAAAAGAACAAGGGCAGCTTGCACTTGTGGGGCAAGGCTGCAGCTACAGCTTGTGATCGACATAGCTTCTGGTTTTTCTAGGCTTGGCTAAGTTACTGCTAATTTTAGGCTAAATTAGTCTGACTAAATTAAAACTGGCTTTATTAGTTTTAACCTAATTTGCCATGACCTAATTAGATATGCTTGTTATTTTGACATAATTAGCTATGTCGTTATTCTTATTTAGACTTGAGTTCAATAGTCTTGAACTAGTAGGCGCCTACTTGATTCAGCTTGATTTAATTAGTCCTAACTTAACTTGTCTTGACTTCACTACTAAGAAGTCATGGCGTTATTTGTCATCATCTAAATGGCTTTCATTTGGCCATGGGCTGACAAGTGCCAGTTTAATTCAACGTGGTTCGATTAGTAATGAACTAATTAGTTGTGTAATTATTACACTTGTTGTTATTAGTCTTCTTTAAATGTGCTGACACTACTTGGCATAGATACACGAGGCCTAATATATCATCACTTAGTTTAGTTAGGCCTACCTTAGGTATGCCCTAAATAATCTTGGTACAATTAGCTAAGTCTTAGCATATCTTGCCTTAGTTAGCACAACATTGATTAATCAGCTTAGCATTAGTGGGATCATTTAGCTTGATCTCATGCAGTCTATCAGTCTATCGTCGTGCAGTCTATCAGTAATTGTACTCTACACCTGATAAATTGGCACACGTGTTTCGAGAGCGAACCAAATGAAGTGCGTGCCGGTTCATGATGACAATTTTGGTTCGCACAACGCGGTGCAAAGAAAAGCTTAAAAAGACTGGATACCACTCAGGCATAAATAAATGTTTGTCACGACAATGAGACGATAACATGTCCATGCTAACCATAAAGATATCATCAACAAGTATGCGCCACATAAATTTCACAAATCCTACTGCTCGCCCCTGGTCGAATAATAATGAACAGAGGGGTACTGACACGAAATTTTTCACTTAGCGCTTTTTCGTGTCAAATGATAGACTGCCTCCGAGAGCGCAAGAAGTTCACCGGTAAGCGTGAGTGCGCCACTAAAAAATGATTTACAGCGTGCTTTTAAAAGCTAGTTTCAGTTCTCACGGTACCCTGACGTCACGGATGGATGGATGGATGGATGGATGGATGGATATGGCTGTACCCTTTAGATCGGGTGGTGGCTAGCGCCACCAAGCCGTAACACCTAATGAACCAAAAACTATATTTATTTTTTTCCTTAAAAAGTGAGTTTGAGGATTCGTACTTTGCAGTGAAGAATTTAATTTTCACTCGTGTCTTGACTTTAGCCACCAATCAGATAACCTCCTTCTGGTTAAGTCTACCCGCTTAAAGTTTATTTTGCCCTCCCGGTCCCTAAACCCCAGTGCTTTGAAAAACTCTGCGCCATCATCCTGAACTATAGGGTGAAGCCCTTTACAGAACATTATCAAGTGTTCGGCAGTTTCTTCTTCCTCTCCACACGCACTGCATACTGTGTCGACCCCTTCGTATTTGGCCCGATATGTCTTGGTTCTCAGTACTCCCGTCCTGGCCTCAAGCAGTAGAGAACTACCCCGTGTATTATCATAGATCCTTTCCTTGGCAACTTCCTGCTTAAAAGTTCGATAGATCTCTAGTGCGGACTTTTTAATCATGCCCATTCTCCACATGTCAGTCTCCGTTTCCTTCACTTTCTTCTTAACCGATAGTTCTTTTTGGTTTGGCCACCTGCTGTTTTCTAAGTATTTACCAGTCAACTTCCTGGTTCGCTTCCTCCATTTTGTATCGACATTCTTCATGTACAAGTAGCTGAAAACCTTCCTAGCCCAACGCTCTTTCGCCATTTCTCTCAATCGTTTCTCAAATTTTATCTTGCTGCTAGCTTCCCTGCCCTCAAATGATGTCCATCCCATATCACCTTGTACTCCCTGATTTGGTGTATTCCCGTGAGCTCCTAAAGCAAGCCTACCTATTCCACGTTGCTTAATTTCTAATCTTGCTTGAACTTCTGATCTCATGCACAAGACCGCATTGCCGAACGTCAGCCCAGGAACCATGACCCCTTTCCATATTCCTCTCACAACATCATACCTATTGTAATTCCACAGTGCCCTATTTTTCATGACTGCTGCATTCCTGTTACCTTTAGTCGTCACATATATTTCGTGTTCCCTCAGATACTCGGTCCCATTGCTTATCCATACGCCCAGATATTTGTATTTATCTGTTATCTCTAGCGTGACCTCCTGTATTCTAAGCTCACTACCTTCGTTGTCGTTGAAAATCATGACTGCTGATTTTTCCTTACTGAATCTAAAATCTAACCTATCTCCCTCATTACCGCAGATGTCCATCAATCTCTGCAAATCTTCCTTGTTGTTGGCCATTAGCACTATATCATCTGCGTAAATTAATGCTGGTAGTGCCTGATCAATAAGTTTTCCTTGTTTGACTAAAGAGATGTTGAAGCCCAGTCCACTTCCCTCTAATTTTGCCTCTAATCGTTGTAGGTACATCATGAATAACAAGGGTGACAGAGGACACCCCTGCCTAAGCCCCCGTTTTACCTCTGTGGGCTTGGATACCTGTTTTCCCAACTTTATAACTCACTTGTTACTTTGATAGATGTCCTTTAAAAGATTAGTGACTCCCTCTTCTACACCAAGTGTGTCCAGTATTCCCCACAAGTCCTCTTGAACCACGTTATCGTACGCTCCCTTGATATCAAAAAATGCTAGCCGCAGGGGCCTGTGTTCCTTTTCTGCTATTTTATTCAATGCGTCAGTGAGAACAGATTGTCTTCCAACCTCCTGTGTTTTCGAAATCCATTCTGCAGTTCCCCCAGCACCCCCTCGACCTCTATTCATGCGTGCAGTCTTTCCTTTATAATCTGCATTGCCAGCCTGTAGACCACTGATGTCACTGTTATAGGACGGTAGTTGTTTATGTCAGCTTTTCCCCCCTTTCCTTTATAGATCATGCTCATCCTGCTAAGTTTCCATCCATTGGGAACTTCACCATCGATTATTATTGTACTCACTGCCTCTCTCAGAGCCTGCTTAGACTTCGGACCTAATGTCTTTATCAGCCTAATTGGTATGCCATCTGGGCCTGTTGATGTACTACCAGGAACCCTTTTCTCAGCCCTTTCCCACTCTTGTTGTGAAAATGGAGCCATTGCACCCCTTGATTCGTCCTTGTCTATTGTGGTGCATAAAGTACTTCTTTGTTGAAATTTTTCTGTCACCTTTGTTCTTATATATTCAATAGCTTCGTCCCCTTCTAACCTAGCACCTTGGGCTGTAGTTATAAAACTCTGCTCTAGGCTCGTCTCATTTCTTAGGGAGTTTAGATGGTTCCAATATTTCGCAGCTGCCTTCCTATCTTTTTTATGTACTTCTGCCAGCCACTGAGCTCCCTTTCTTCTAATCTTTTCCTTGATCAGAAGGGATGCATCCCTTCTACAGCTTAGAAAGGTTGCCCATTTTCTTTCAACATTATCTGTCGGTTCACCCCGCTGCTTAGCATGTCTGTGTTCCCTAGAGGCTTCCTGACGTTTTGCTATGGCTCTCTTAACTTCCTCATCCCACCAACTTTTGGGTTTGTGTCTTCTTTTCCGGGGTGATTTGTCACGCGTCTTAACAAGCTCTAGCTCAAAGAGTCTAATTAGATGCGTGTATGTCCACACTGTCTTGTTATCCTCCGTGATTACTTTCTCAATTTGTTTAGTGGCTATTTCAATTTGCCTTTCTGGATAAAAATTTTTCTGTAGTTGCTCATCTTGTCTCCTTCCCACTTTCACTGCTCTTCCAAAACTTAGCTTGATACGTTTGTGATCGCTACCCAGACTTCTGGAGCCACCTTCATCTATGTGCATTCCCCTGAGCTTATCATACATCCTATGTGACATCAGTGCATAATCTATCGTCGACTGAAGCCTTCCTACCTCCCATGTTATTTGCCCTTCACACTTCTCGGTACTGTTGCAAATGATCAAATCAAGCCTTTCACACATATCCATGATCATTTTGCCTGTCGGGTCGGTATACCCATCTATATCTTCTATGTGCGCATTCATGTCTCCTAGTATAATTATCTCGCACTCTCTTCCTAACTCCTGAATGTCCTTTGATATACACTCTACCATTGCCTGGTTTTCCTCTCTGGCCTTTGCTCCCGTCCACAAGTACACGAAACCAAGGAGTGTCATTTGACCTGCCACTTTCCCTTTGAGCCATAAATGTTCCTTGCACTCCTGCTTGACCCTTTGCCAGTCTGTACTTTTATGAATGAATGCCCCAATACCACCCCCCTTTCTGCTGCCTTCTGTTCTGTTACCTCTGTTCTGTTATGCCTTTGGCTATATCCGTGCACGACTTGGCATAAGCAGTGCCACCTGGTGGTAGTGTAGGACTGCGGTGAGAAGTGGTTGCGCGGCAGTTTTAGTTTACTTTTGTTTACTTTTGCGGTACGCTTGTAGAGGCATGCCAGCCGTTGCGCTGCATTTACGCCGGCATGCAGCATTGCTTGGACGGCGTTCAGATGGCGTCGACCCTGTTCGGCGCTGACCTGAGATGTCGTGTGCCCGCATGGCTCCCTGCGAAGGACTGCGGCGCCTGAGATTACAGGGCGTTCATGTTTTCTTGTTAATCCAGGTCAAAGGAACTAACCCCTACGTGGGCGCCAAAGAGGTAGGGATGAAAACGTCATTCTGACGACCTCCTGATTGCTTTACGGCACTTTCGGCCTCCGCATGAATGGACCTTTTCCGGGATCCAGCATGGCAGTACGACCCCTCGCATCCTTTGGCTTATGGACCGACCGCGTGCTGCTCGCGCGCCTAAATCTCACCGCCGATTAAAGGTGGCGTGCGGTGCGATATAGTGGGATCGCAGTCGACCGTTCGTCAAGGTCCGGCTTGCTTCTTGTAGCTTTCGAAAGCGGGCGGGCTTGCGACACCTGCAAGCGTGGCCGAGGTCGCAGTAAACGAGCGCTTGGTCGGCGCCTTTGATGAAAGCTCACCCAGGCATGCCTTCGGCTATATCCGTGCTAATCCTTTCAAACGAGCTTGCAAGTAGAACCACGTGCGGAGAGCCAGTGGTTCCACTTACAACGCACCGGGGACAGGCGGATTACTGTCCCGCCGGCAGTAAGTTGACGTGTTGACAGGGACGTCCTTGTTATGGCCGCAAATCCCAATACGCGTAGCTTTAAGTTTAGATTGTTGTGCGCCCGCTGAGCTTGCCCTTGCCTCTATGACATTTGTTAAACTTTTAAAGACGATAGTCTTTCTTGGGGACCTTCGATACAAAAATTTCGGTCTGTCTGTGTGTTAGTCTGTCTGTCTGTACATATGCCTGTTTGTCCACTCTTAACAATACCTTAAACGGCACCAAAGTGATAAACGATACCCCAAACGGCCGACCATATCCGCAACGTCTACCAATATTGCTCAAGGTTCAGCGTTCATACCTGTGTAATTGCCAATTAAAAAGCAATTAGTGTGCACATCTGAGGCACAATAACATGACAATATTATGTATGTGTATTTTTTACCAAAAAATGTCATACACAAGTCATTCTAAGGACCGTAGCGTTTATCACGCTGCGCTGACAATGCAACGATTGCGCGAAACGGCCAGTGTTTCCAACGCTTTGCTAAGACGACACGGTGGTGGCACCGACCGGTCGCCTTTCGTTCTACACCTTATCACCTCAGAGACGGGCGCGCATGCCGCGGCCCCGTTAACCAGGATAACTGTGAGAGAGCGCTGATGTCTCACGTGTAACGTGGATGATGCGCTGGCTCGCCACCACTGCACGCTCGAGGCACTGTAACGCAGCGCCTCCAGTCACCAATTTTCTTGCACAGAACATCAAATAAACGTTTTGATCACTCTCTCTAGACGCAAGACTATCATCCTTCGACGTTATTTACAGTGGAACATACAGATACGGGGCCAAATTTTTATTTAGATTTTAGTTGTGTTATCAGGGGCGAGGGCATGAGCTCTCACACGTGTACGAAGGTGGCGTTTTTGTGGCGGGTTCTTGATTGACCGAGTGTACTGTCTTATCAGAGGACAAAGAGGTGACGATTCGCTGAGAGTTATATAAGGATGGATTGGATTGGATAAATGGAGCATCGAGGAAACAAGAAGCGGCTCTGGTGTTCCGGCAAGCGTCCAGAACCGGGCTTAAAGTGTTAGGCACAATCGGCTCTGCCGAATCCCGTAGGGTAACCTTACAGATGGTTCATTTCCGAAGTGCTCTCTTTTTCTCAACTCGCATGTCCGCAACTATGTAATATATTCTGTACGTACAGTGTCTAAATATAAGCTTTTCTCAGCCTCGCTAGAACTTCTCCAGCGTTTAAACTTCCACTTCGAGTGACGAGCAAGTCAATCGCCGCTATTTGCATAGAGGCAGTGCGTTTCTTTCTCGAACTTTGCTATACCACCATGGGTGGTGCGTCTCGGGCGCCGAGTGGAAATAGTTGGTTTCGCAACATCAAAAAAGAAAACAACTGAATTTTGCTGGTAGTATGCGCACGCGCAAGTTTCGTGACGTATCCTCGTCCGTGCGCCGCACTTGTGGCAACTGTCGCAACAGCAGGGCTTAACGTTGGGTTGTCATCACATTTCGGACCCAAGTTCTAGGGGCGAAGCTCCTTATAGCGGCACCCGTTCGTCCCTCGTAGCCGTTGCCGTAGTGTGTAACAAGTATAACATTTTGACCTCCAAGGTGGTGCTGGTGAAAAATTTCTTCTTTGCGTTGTTGCACAATAAAAGATAGTGCTCAATGTACATGCCAATGGCTGCTAAGGGGTAATGAGAGACAGGAGAATTCGGCTTTTAGTTAACGCGCACGCTGCAAATTTTTTATTGTTCAACAACGCACAGAAGACAAGAAAGGTTTGCTACGTTATACTCGCTGGGCGTAACCTTCTTGGTTTTAGAAAGGTTTAGCGAGCGTTGGGCCGCAGTGCCATGAATACAGTGAACTAGTATATACCATGAACACGAGGCGGTTAAAGGTGGGAAGTAGACACGAAGCGCAAGCCGTAAGAAAGTGTGCGTGTGCCTCCTCTTGTTCAGTCCTTGGAATGTCCGCTGAATGGCGGTGCTTCTATATGAGGAATATATGATGAAAAGATGCGAGATGGTGGTACTTGGAGTGTTGAATAGGTGGACGAACGGACACACAGACAGATGCGTGGACGGACGCACGGATGGCTGCATGAACGGATGGATGCATGGACAGATGCAGGAGCGGATGCATGGGCGAAAGCAGGGCGGACGCACAGATGAACGTGCGGACGCACAAACAGACGCACGCACGGATAGGCGGATGGATGCACGGGTGGCCACACAGGCGCACACATGGATCGACGGAAGCAAGAACGAATGGACGGACGGATGCTTCGCCCCACTATCTATCATTCACTCCGTGGACATGCTGCCATTGTTTTTTGTCTACGATTTGAAGTCGGTCAGCAACTGCATTTTGGACGTGTACGCGCAGCAAACAGTAAACTCCGCTTGGTTGGCGTCCAGTTTCCGCCTCGGCCCCCACTTGACTCAGAGCCGGATCGGACCGGAATCGGTGGAACTTTCACCTATGGTCCTTCGTTTCACTCGCGCAAGACAATTCACGGGGCAAAGTATTGGTGCCATGACGAAAAATTTGAAATCAGCTGGACGATTCATTTGTCCTCTGATAAGCGTATATCTTGTATTCGAGTGCACGTATACTATTCCAGACTCCGTTACCTCGGTTCATAGGTATGCTCGGTGACAATAGAGGCTTTTAGCTCGTAGGTATACTTCTATACGTTAACGTGTTGCCGGATACGGGTTTCTGTTTACCGTCGCAAACCATAAATCCTGATGCTAACTGCAGTTAAACTATATTTAACCCAGAGAGGATTAATTCACCGCTGTGGCAAAATCACGAGACGTTTCTTTATCTTGTACAGTATCCTCGTATGCGCAAAAGGGTGAATAAATACAAGGTTATTGCCCCGATAGTGTCGACATCTCGTGACACTTCGTGATACTACTGTCATCAACATGTTGGCTTACAGGTAATGTTTTAGATCTGAAAATGATTACCAAGGCAACTTATTCCTAATAACGCCGCTGCGTGGTTAATACGCCAGACGTACAATGCATAATGTTTCTGCAATAACAATTTTGTGAATTTCTGGTTCATTTTGTCCCTGCTAGATGGCGCCACCTATCCAATCGTGTGGGGCTCACAAGTTCATGATTTTGATGTTGTAGGCCATTCTAGCTTTAGTAATCGGGCTAAAACATTGTAATCGCTATTGGTATTCGCACTTCGGTTTCTTTTGACTCGACGGCTTGAGTCTCCGCAATGTTAATATCGCGAGTCCCTGTGGACAAAAGTAGGTTTGCGAGATAGGGCCGCAGACGCAAAGCCTATCTGGTGGGTCGCTTGCGCTACGTAAAGGTTTACGTACCGTAAAGGTCGTCGTATATGTGCAGATTATATTCAGTACCCGGTAACAGAGTAACGTAAAGAAATATATGTACTGGCTAAAACCTCTTGGGACCGCACGGCGCGTGCAGATGATCAAGACGGTGACGGGCGAGGTGCCATTTTTTTTGTGTTTTGGTGCTTGACGTCATCGCGACTTGCCAGACTGCTGCGTGAAGTCACCAGGATTAGTACTGTGGCTGACTTCAAGTTAGTGTTAATATAGGTGGGTGCGCCGCGAGAAATTTAATATTAATATAAAAAAATAAAATGTCTTATCAGCATTTTATAGGCATCACACTTGCTCAGAGCCGTCCCATTATACAGGAGATTTGTTTGGCAGAGCAATCTCGCCTCCGAAAAAAAAGGTGTCGGTATCCCTTTAACCGATGAAAAGACGGTCTTTCTAAATGATCTCGCATGCAAAATGACCGCTATGATATTCGTGAACGTATTTTTGAGCAAGCTGAGCGTGGGGAGCCCTACTTGCCTGATTTTCTTCATCAGACGATGATGAGTGGCCGTTGGATGATGATGTCACGTCCGCGCTGGCGCGGCCACTGGAGGAAGACTCGTCCCGGCGCAGGTCTCCTTTGTCGCGGGGCGACAGTGATCGGCTGTTGTTGGAGGAACTGGTGAAGTCTGAATGACAGTAGCCGGAGTCTCCGGCTGTTGATTGCGGCCCCCCGCCAGGTGCCTTGGCGTGGCCACCGCCGGTCGTCACACCGGCACCACCGATGCCGCCGGCAAGCAGGTTGCACTTGGTGGCGCCGGACCCACCACACGGCTGCCCCTGCTGCATCGAGTCGTTGCTGCTGGCGTGGTGCACCGAGTGCTTCGACGTGTTGCTCTCGATGTCGTCCTCGGAGCTCTCCGAGTTCGATGGCGAGGTCGAGATCAAGTGCTGCAAGTTTCCCACGTCCTGCAGGCGAGGTTCGCAAGCGCCTAAGGGCGCTGCGTTCTGCACCGCGAGACCGCCCTACCCTGGTGTAAGCATGCTGCAAACGTGTCTATAGAGTACACACTTTATCGTTCTTCCTTCAAGGTTTAGGGCAGGCTGCAAAGACCATGTATGTATGTATGTATGTATGTATGTATGTATGTATGTATGTATGTATGTATGTATGTATGTATGTATGTATGTATGTATGTATGTATGTATGTATGTATGTATGTATGTATGTATGTATGTATGTATGTATGTATGTATGTATGTATGTATGTATGTATGTATGTATGTATGTATGTATGTATGTATGTATGTATGTATGTATGTATGTATGTATGTATGTATGTATGTATGTATGTATGTATGTATGTACGTACGTACGTACGTACGTGCGTGCGTACGTATGGTACAGGAGTATTGTACGTATAGTGCATACTTGATGCTGCACGTTTGTTTAAATGTGGTCATTGGCGCTCTGAATGCAGTGGTATGTAATGATGTAGTATGTCATTGCACAAAACTGTGGTGGTGTCTCAGGCTGCTTTAAATGAAGCGGAGGCTGTCGAACAAAAATATCACGTTTTTTTTCTGATTCTTACATTTTTTTCATTTGGAACGTGGGTGAGAAAGGTTGGTTTTTCGTTGTATGCACATTTTATTGAAGAAAGTGCGTCAATAAACACATTTCTCAGAGATGATGACATTTTCAGAATCTCATGAGCTTTAATGGGCTGTCTTGTGTGGCTCACATGAAGTGTTTGCGTCGTGTTCTATACTACATTGTGGGAATCTTTTAACCCTTTTGAACTACAAGACAGTTAATGAAGCCAATGAAAGGGCATTGGAAAACAATAGCAAATGAAATTTACAATAACGTGCAGCTAGGGTCCACGTGTATTTTGGCCTCTAGAGACAAATTTGGTCGTATTGACTTCCACCAGTAGAAGAGGGCTGCTTATTAGCCGTTTGAAGTGAACAAAACTCCACCCGGTCCCATATGCATGCCATGCCTGGAGGTTAAGGCAAATGTCCAAGTCTGCTGTTACCTGTCGTTAGCTCACTGGCAATCACAGTGGTAGATCAATTTTTTTGTTAAAATAGAAAAATAAATAAACAAGATCATTTGGTAAGAATCACAGACTTTATGCTGTTGGTTTGGATGTCATATTTGGTGTGATGAATTTGCTGAAGTTCATTTGACACATACTTCTTCGCAAGGTTCGGGAAGTGCAAGGTGATATGACGTTTCATGATTCATTAACTGCGATCGTCTTCTACGGGTAATAAAAGTAAATTAAGTTCTCAATTTTATTATTATTTTGCAATGCCCTACCATCAGGGTAATGAAAGACAATAATTAACACTCACTGTGTTCTGTGCTATCGCAACAAAATATACACCAGGTTTATGACTCACCTGGTCCTTGTACAGAAGCGCTATGATTTGAACCACGACGACGGCCCAGTTCACCTGAGATAAATCGTGAAAGAAAGCACATTGAAAATTTTCAACTTGCCGATTTTTAAATGCAAATGATATATTTCATCAGCAGTAAATGCCAAACTCAAGAGAGAGGGAGAGACAAATACATGAAAAGTAAAAGGCAATGAGGTTAACGTTGTAGAAGAACCTATTGCTAAGGCACGTTGCCGGGATAGTTGGTTGAGATTCATCATTTTCACTGGTATAGCGCACCACGACAAGGACACACACAAAGGAGAGATGGACACACACACACACAGCGCTGTGTGTGTGTGTGTGTGTGTGTGTGTGTGCATCTCTCCTTTGTGTGTGTCCTTGTCGTGGTGCGCTGTACCAGTGAAAACCCATTGCTGCACTGCATACGGCTGGGAAAATTGAAAGTTAAAGCTGCAGTGCTCGTGCTCGCGAGAAGTACAATGTCGAAATACTCGTCGCTTAAGCAACTCGTGCAAGTGCCTTTATATCAATACTCTAGGTTCTATAACTGATCAAATGAGGTATTTCTCTTTATTCAAGGCGCAGCAAGCCAACTAGCATCGTAGTAGAGTTATGTGACATTCGTAACTTATCACAGTGTTTATGACGACACATTTCCAACCTAGTTTTATCTTTTGGCACAAAACTGTGGTGGTGTCTCAGGCTGCTTTAAATGAAGCGGAGGCTGTCGAACAAAAATATCACGTTTTTTTCTGATTCTTACAATATTTTTTTTTCATTTGGAACGTGGGTGAGAAAGGTTGGTTTTTCGTTGTATGCACATTTTATTGAAGAAAGTGCGTCAATAAACACATTTCTCAGAGATGATGACATTTTCAGAATCTCATGAGCTTTAATGGGCTGTCTTGTGTGGCTCACATGAAGTGTTTGGCGTCGTGTTCTATACTACATTGTGGGAATCTTTTAACCCTTTTGAACTACAAGACAGTTAATGAAGCCAATGAAAGGGCATTGGAAAACAATAGCAAATGAAATTTACAATAACGTGCAGCTAGGGTCCACGTGTATTTTGGCCTCTAGAGACAAATTTGGTCGTATTGACTTCCACCAGTAGAAGAGGGCTGCTTATTAGCCGTTTGAAGTGAACAAAACTCCACCCGGTCCCATATGCATGCCATGCCTGGAGGTTAAGGCAAATGTCCAAGTCTGCTGTTACCTGTCGTTAGCTCACTGGCAATCACAGTGGTAGATCAATTTTTTTGTTAAAATAGAAAAATAAATAAACAAGATCATTTGGTAAGAATCACAGACTTTATGCTGTTGGTTTGGATGTCATATTTGGTGTGATGAATTTGCTGAAGTTCATTTGACACATACTTCTTCGCAAGGTTCGGGAAGTGCAAGGTGATATGACGTTTCATGGATTCATTAACTGCGATCGTCTTCTACGGGTAATGAAAGTAAATGAGGTTCTCAATTTTATTATTATTTTGCAGCGCCCAACCATCAGGTTAATGAAGGACAGTAATTAACACTCACTGTGTTCTGTGCTATTGCAACAAAATATACACCAGGTTTATGACTCACCTGGTCCTTGTACAGAAGCGCTATGATTTGAACCACGACGACGGCCCAGTTCACCTGAGATAAATCGTGAAAGAAAGCACATTGAAAATTTTCAACTGGCCGATTTTTTAAATGCAAATGATATATTTCATCAGCAGTAAATGCCAAACTCAAGAGAGAGGGAGTGACAAATAGATGAAAAGTAAAAGGCAACGAGGTTAATGTTGTAGAAGAATCCATTGCTAAGGCACGTTGCTGGGCTAGTTGGTTGAGATTCATCATTTTCACTGGTATAGCGCACCACGACAAGGACACACACAAAGGAGAGATACACACACACACAGCGCTATATGTGTGTGTGTGTGGGCATCTCTCCTTTGTGTGTGTCCTTGTCGTGGTGCGCTATACCAGTGAAAACCCATTGCTACACTGCATACGGCTGGGAAAATTGAAAGTTAAAGCTGCAGTGCTCGTGCTCGCGAGAAGTACAATGTCGAAATACTCGTCGCTTAAGCGACTCGTGCAAGCGCCTTTATATCAATACTCTAGGTTCTATAACTGATCAAATTAGGTGTTTCTCTTTATTCAAGGCACAGCAAGCTTACTAGCATAGTAGTAGAGTTATGTGACATATGTAACTTATCACAGTGTTTATGACGACACATTTCCAACCTAGCTTTATCTTTTGTTCGTTTATCGTGATAACGTTTGCGAAATATTTACCAGTATTTATTTTACCAGCATCAACCTTTCATATTATTATCCATTCACAGCCTCTACATCAGGCGTCGCTAGTCGGCGCTAGCGATTCGGTAGCATGAAAGCGTAAAGAATCATCCATTCGACACAGGAAATTTTCTCAGAATTTGCTTTCTGGTAAACAAGGGAGAGTTTCTTTTATAGCCGCATGCCCTTCCCAGATTGGTAGCATTCTTTTTTTAGTGGATGTTTCTTTCCTGTGCTGGTATGATTTGGCCTCATTTCTGTGCTGTTGAAATGAGATGTCAGTGTTTAGGCGATATTTATGAGGTACTCAACATAACCGAGCTATAAAGGCGAAATTCGGAGCAGCACAAAAATATACTAAATGTTAAAGAGGACCGTATGTTATATATGCTATATGCTATATGCTTATGCTATATGCTATATGCTTATGCTCTATGTTAAGAGGACCGAAGACATTCAGGGCAAGTATCGCAGCGATATCGTTACGTTTGCAGTCTTAAGCCTTCTTGAAATAGACATTGAGTGAGTGAGTTAGTGAGTGAGTGAGTGAGTGAGATAGATAGATAGATAAATAGATAGATAGATAGATAGATAGATAGATAGATAGATAGATAGATAGATATGAACAGGCGTACTAGAATCTACAGAATGGGAGTAAAAAGTGTCACGTAGGCTTGATGGACCTTACCTTGTAGACGCTATTCAGCATGAGGATCAACACACCGTCAAGTCCATGCACGAAGAGGTTCCTTTTTATTTTAAGTACCGGAAACGAAAATGAAAGCATGACAAAAAAAAAGTTAGTATCGGCTAGCGAGGCACGCGCATTCTGCAACAAAAGAACTGGTCACCGAGAAGCTTGGTGGGGCTATTGGAAACACCTTACCAAATGAGCTTGTTGTGGACGCTCAGCCAGTCCTCGAAGGTGTCCTCGGTGATGCCGAAGCGCGACGACTCGGTCTTGTCGGGCACGTGCAGCAGGTTCCTCATCAGAACTAACGAATTGCTCAGGCCTTCGAGGTCGTTTTCGGTCAGATCTTTTGGCTCCTGATCCTTTACCCGGCAGCGAGACACAAAACATAGAGGCTTCGCTTTCGCCTCACCACGCTCTCTTCCGCCACCAAGCTGTTTTCACTGTCATCAATGTATTGTCTCTTCGCCTGTTCACACATCTCAATGCATGCAGTACACTCGCGAGCTTAAGCATAAAAAAATGGCAGGGGGGATGATTGCACTTGAGCATAGTGTAGGGCGAGCTGCAAGTGGTGCTATCCGTCCTAGATTTCGTGTGTCCCTCCTTGTCTTAGCCTAATTTGTCTATGATGAACGGAAACAGGCGTGCAAAGATAGACGCAGGAGATCAGATCAGAACCACAAAAACGATCTCTTCTCTACGATCCATGACTGTATCCCCACTTTGTTTTATTATATATTCATGCGAACTAACTCACAATATTGTTCCCTAAGCTTTATTTCTTTCTCAAGTGATGTCTCGAATACAGTCGCGATTGCCAACCTCAGGGTATTCAGAAACAGGCAACGACATTAGGCCTTTCTTAGACTCTGTAACTGGTGGGACGGCATCCTAAAGCCCAGATAACCATGCATATATATAGGCATCCAAATGTTATAGCCGGCATTATTTTGTCGGGGCGGAACATGTTGAATGAATGAATTGGGATGTGACGCTCTTTCAAGCTTCCGAACATTATCGGTGAACAGTTAAGGTGTTGTCGCGTCAACCATCACTTGCCTGTACGTTGAATTGAACCACGTGGTCATTCTGCCAAAATACTATAACATAGCGTTTGGTTTATAGCGGTAGAAGCTTTAGTTGTCTGGTTTCTACGTTTTACTGTTTGTGATGTTTGTGATAAAGGCAGAAGAAAAAAAAAGGAACCTTCGTGATGACTGTGAATGATGCGTCAGCGATTTCGTTACGCGGTGAGCGAAAGAAAGAAAAACATGAAGAAATGATTTACCATAAAAAAGCATATCGGCTTTCCTGTCTCTTACAGAACTCTGTACTAATGAACTCCAAACTTTGGAACGTTAACGTGTTTGTTCCAATAAGTAACAAACCTACTAAAACATCTTTCTCAAGCAACTATATCAACTATATAGCATGCTTGACGAAGCCACTGCTTTGCGACAAATGTGTTTCTTGTGCTGATAAAATACCGCCGGACTGATAAAATACCGCCGTAAGTAAAACTACACGCCTTCTCACAAGAACTTAGGCGTGACAAACTGAGAAAAGTACACAAATACAAAACAAAAGTTTTGGTTACTAACCCATAGTTTGCCAAGTTTTTCCACGAGTTGAACCTGTGAATGGGAGTGGAAAAAAAGTGTAAGAAATAACGGATGATAATTCACTGAACTAGCGTGCTCGTGCCAAGCCCAACGTACAAGTGAAAAACTATCAAAGCACGTGCGAAAAAACCTGATTCTTAACCTCTGTCCCACATACATACGCACAAAAAATGATTGGAGTAGTTTCCTGGTTCTGATGAAATACTAAAGATAATTGCATGGAGCCTCAAGGGCAGGAACAACTGCGCATTTAAAAATGATAAAAGCACCCTTGAAAACTTTACAAATGTGAAAACTTGGTCATTAGTATTGAAAGTGTTTCTCTGTGAACTGAGTATTGAACTGTATAGTGTTTGTAAATTTTCTGGATGGTGCCTTTCTGGCAAACGCCTTAATGTAAATTTTCAAAACTTCTGCAAATACAAATTATAGCGCCTTTGATCCTAGCCTGTGCTAGCTGTGTTATGACGTGGAACGTGTTCGCCTCGTTTTTTTAGAAGCGATGTTCTTCTTAGTTTCACCTTGTCCTGCGTCAGGCGTAACTGGTGGTATCAGACAAAAAGAAAACAGACGGACATATGGACGGACGGACTGATGCACGAATGAACGCATGCACGGACGGACGGAAGAACAGACAGACAGTCAGACATACGGGCGGACGGAAGGGCGGACGCTTCACCCCACTTGCCATCATTTACTCCGTGGATTTTCTGATTTTTTTTTGTATTCAGTGTGCGTGTTGCAGCGTTTGCTGTTTATCACAACTAGATCTCGTGACATGTATTTCGGACATGCAGTGTTATCGCCGTAGTGCGTCACCTGCAGTAGCTGCGTCTACTGAGCCATGCCTGCTCACAAGTGGGACAGCTAGTGCTCTGAACCAATGCACCGTCGTACATGCACCGCGCACATCACGTGGAATCAATGCACGCATTCACACCCGGGAAAGGAAGACGCACGCTGCCCCGTATAATACAGCGTCTGGGACAGAGTGAATTGCATAGCAACGTGCGATGCCGTTAGAGATACGCTAGATAGTTTCGAGACCAAATGAGCACGGTACTAACCGTTTTCATTTTGGCCTTGAGAACCCTCATGATAGTCTCCGTGGAGCGAATGTCCAGGAAGGAACGCTTGGTCTCTAGAAGAAGCATGTGCAGATTCTGGATGGCGTCCATCGCCGTCTTGTTCTGGAGGGCCAGATCCATCGGGATGAGACATTCGACAGGTGTTGTCAGCCGGAGCAGCACCCTGTATGACGCAAAATATAGGACAGAGGTGTAACACGTAGCGCAAATTCAAACATTCACATGGTTTCCTACGCATTTGCCTAAGGCAACTCGGAGGTGAAAGTCATAATTTTCTTCTGAGTTGATTGTAGCTGTGCTGAAAACCCCCTTCCCTTCTTCTAAAACCGTTCTGCACCCAACGTGTTTATCTTGCATTGCTTTCGGATTCAGACGCCTCTTGAAACGTTCTGGACCTCGCGAGGTTTTGCATGGCCCGATGTCATCTGGATGGACATGGGCCGGTTACGTAGCACGTAGGCAAGATAACCGCTGGCCATTACGGGTAAATGACTGGATTCCCAGAGACGCCGAACGCACGAAGGGGACAGAGAGAAAGCTAGGTAGGCTGATGAGATGAGAAAGTTTGCATGTATAACGTGGCAACGGAAAGCACCAGGCCGGGTTGATTGGCGGATCATGGGAGAGGCCTTTGCCCTGCGTTGGGCGTAATCAGGCTGATGATGATGATGATGCCATGTGATGATGTGCTAACACGATGCCACATTAAGTGATGTCTTAGTGACGTCATGATGACGTCACACCCTTTTGGCAACCTGCAATGTCCATAGTGACGTCATAGCATAATGGCGTTTCTCTGAACCGCTTGTGTTGACGCCAACGCCGCGACCGAGGCCGGCGATGGTACTTTTCATGTTTGATGAGGGATCTCTTACTTTCGCCTAAATAACTAGTTGTAGTCACTCGAGCGTCGTGCTAAGGCTGATTGTCATCAGCCTTCGTCCCGACTTTGCGAGCAGGGTCGACTTGCCTCTTCTGCAGTGCGTTACCTTTTTAAACAGAAATAATCCAATGGCGTTGTTCCCGAAAATTCAGTGCCAGCACAAAAGTAGTGATAAGTTCGTAAAGAAATGAAAAGAGGTTTATGAGGTAAACTTTCACAACAAAAAGAGAAGGTATCGAGAAAAACAAGTCCTTAAACTAACTCTTGACTTTTAACTTTATTCTACGCAAGTGTGCTTTCACCCAAGTGCACCGCGAAGAAATATACGGAAGACCGCATTATCCTTTCTCGAGCAGTGTTCATATAAGCAGTACGCGGAAGAAAGTGCAAATCCGCGCCTCACACTAAAGAAGCAGAGCACTGCGTGACTCAATACATGCGAGACGCATGACCTGAATATAGCGAGACCGTTCGCACGTGAACCGATGAGCACGTGTAAAGCAGGGCACGTGGAAAAGAAGGCACGCTTCTTTGCCCGGCTCAACGATTGCCCCTATACGTTCCTTCCACGCCTCATTTTTCTGTGCGTACATTCTCTATTTTCTCTACTTGAACGTGCGCTTCTTTCTTTTTTTTCTGTCCCTTAGTAGTGAATGGGCTCGCTCGAGCTTTATTCGTTGCCTAGCATATGTTCTTACCCCCTTTTTCTTTCTTTTTTTGCACAAGAACGGGACAGGCTCAGGAGCCGCTGTGGGTGCTGTCGCGCAGTAGCTACGATAAGCTTTTTTTTTTTTTGAGGGGGTTGGGTGGAGGAAGGGCGCACGCCAAAACAATGCACTCAGTCAACACCTTCTAAAAATTTTTCAGGCGTTTTCACATCCTCAATTCCCCGTGGGTGACGTCACGCCAAGTGTCTGACAGTCACGCTTTTTTACTTTCGGACGCGCGAAAATAAAAAAAGCGTCTAGTCGAGCTATCCTTTGCAAGGATTTCACGCCAACAGTGCATTCGAAGGTAGAAATAATATAAGATTGCTTTATCCGGCGTGTGAACCTTTGTTCTTAGCTGCAAAACTTGTAATTGTCCAAAGGGAATATTTTCTCGTACCTAATGAGAATAGTTCAACACAACATTGAAGAAGCATGCATTTCTCGTGAATATTTACTGAGCAGTGAGGTGCGTTGGCAAATTAACAGCGCTAAGAAGGATATCCTTCTCACAGGATGGTTAAAATACCTTCTATTTTGCTCTTACTGCCATAAACTACGCCTGGTTTGGTCTCTGTGTTTTTTTCTTTCCTGCATATTGATGTGTGCAACCATCCTCCGATGGTTATGTAGCAAGTTATTACGACAATAAAAATGACATTCTGTAGATGCGATGTAAGAAATAAAACATGAACAGCCATAAACAAAAATGTAATTTCTTTTCATTGCACATGTAGCAACCCGCCTCCGATGTTGGTGTCACGCGTGTCACTTTGTCGTTTTTTCTTTCTTTGAACGACTTCATGTGTATACAATAGTTAAAAAATTATGAAGGAACAGCTATTTGTAGGTTATATCTACGCGTAGTTTGTTTCAAATGTAGTGCATTTATAACAGCCGCCTTTTTTTTCGCACACGCCGGTTTAAAGCTTATTGGTCGGTCGCGGGACCAAATCTTAGCTGGGGCGGATGCATTTTCGATGGAGGCGGAAATGCTGTGGGCCCGTGTGCTCAGATTTAGGTGCACGTACAGAACCCCAGGAGGTCGAAATTTCCGTAGCCCTCCGCTACGGCGTCTATCATAACTATATGGCGGTTTCGGGACGTTAAACCCCACATATCAATCAAAGCTTATTGGTGTCCTATGTTTCGTTCTTGCGGGACTAAAACTACGTGCCGAATGCTTCACTTGTGCCTGAGAAAGTTTCTCAAAGACATGATATAGTATTTTGCATCCATCACAGACTTGCAACACCATATAGAAGCGAGCACGAAGCTCCCGAATACCGGAACGAAGCGCCCACACGGACACACGTGGTGACATCACGCAACCATCGGGAAGGCCTTAGGAATATAGGGGATGTTGACTCAGTGGCCTCGTATGGTACGCTAATGCCCATCCACTCATTTTTATTGCGATAGCAATTATATGGACAGTCTCGACTGGTTTTTGCCGTTGCCGCCGCCGTCAAGTGCCGTATATGTATACGCATCTATATATAGGAAAACTCAAGAAAGAAAAAAAGCCGCCCGCGCTCGGCACCCAGCTCATCGGGATGCGCTAACGCGCGCATATCTCCCACGCGTACTTTGCCCCGCGGATGGGGGCGGGGGAGTTAGGTGCTTGTGCGCGCGCGCTTATCCTTCGGTGGGTAGAATAGTGTGTCTTGACCTTTCACTGGAACGGTTGCGTTAGTTGACTGGGCCACAAAGGTCACTTCGCTCGCTGGGCAAGCCCAGTTTGCGAAAAGAGCGCGCTTTTCAAATATGGCGAAGCATAAACTGGGACACTCGTTAGTTTGCACTCATATCTGTATTTGTGATTACGTTTCGTGCGTCGTTTTTGTTTAAACAGCGCGTTAAGCGTCGAGCTGTAAACGTTGTTAGTTAACTCTCGTCCTGTGTGTGTTGTTTTCGTGCGTCATTTTTGTGCGAGCAGCGCGCTGCACGTTTAGATCTGCTAACCGTTCTCAGCGTTACATTCCAAGTTTTTGCTATGACATTCATTCCTTCGCACTCTCGGCAAAACTGAGACTTTTATGCCTAGTTCACACTGAAACATCCGCTTTCTACAGCGTCCGAAATTCCCCTGCCGCCGAAACACAGCATCGTTCGCACTGGACGCGACCCGCGCCGCCGAATATGCCATTTACTACGGGGCGAACGCGGGATGGATGCGCTGTCACCCGGTTGTTGTCGCGGCTCGCAAACGCTACTACGCTATTCAGTGGTGCATACTTCGACGATTCTCGTACGCAAGAAGCAAGAAAAGACAGTACTGCTTACTTTGCTGGCAAGTGGCTGTCTTGTAATACACGAAGAGCAGAAAAACCACCGACGCCAGCGGCGTTGGTGGGTTAGTTTTGTTTTGCAAGACCGCAACAAGCTCGGTCACGCCAACAGCAAGCTCGGTCACCTCTTTCACGGAATACGGAGGCGAAGTAGGCGCAGAGTAGGTTAAGCTCCCGTTGGTTTCAACATTAAGTTACGTGCATTGCAGCATAACAAGTGAGTAGGGCTTGGCCGCCATTTTTCAAAATTCCTTGACTAGCGCTCCTATTGGTCCGCGGTGACCGATTCGGCGGCAGACGCCGCAAAAATTGGTTCGAGAGTGATCGGCGCGGAAAGGGCCCTTTCGGCGGATCTCGCCGCCGCCGAACCGGATTCGGAGCACTTTCGGCGGCCGGAATGCTCAGTGTGAACGCGGCTTTAGGGGTGAAGCTCCTTAAAGCCGCACTCGTTCGTTTCTCGTAGTCGTAGTGTGTAACAAGTGTTACATTTTGACCTGCAAGGTGGTGCCGGTGGGAGATTTATCCTGTGCTTTGTTGAGCAATAAAAAGTTCGCGGCGTGCGCGTTAACTAAAAGCCGAATGCTCCTGTCTCCCATTCTCCATTAGCAGCCATTGGCATGTTCCAGTAAGAAACGTTAGTAGAAGTAGAAGTGTTAAAAGCCGACTTCTGCTGTATCTCATTTCCAGTAGCAGCCATTGTTTACCTCCAAGGTAGTGCCTGGTGAGATTTCTTCTGTGCGTGATTAAAAAACAAAAAAAATTTTTGTTCAAAACGCCGTTGATTGATGAAATAAACCAACGAAAGACGCCAGACGTTTTCTAAAAGCAAAACGAAAAGACGCCAGATGTTTCTAAAGCAAAACAAAAAGAAGACGCCAGCTGCTTAACGAAAGACGCCAGGTGTTTTCTAAACCAATGGTTTTATTTTATCGGGCGAATTAACGGAAGAAAATTTCACGGTATTACTTCCAGAAGCTTCGCCCAATCTCAATCATCATTCACCCCGTGGATCTGCCGTCAATTTTTTTTTTCTTTCGCTTCTCTTTCTTGCTCCGTTCCGTTCCTAAGCTTGTGCGTAGTGACACTTACTACACTACATATGCCCGATGAGGCGCACGTGTGGGTACACAGGCTATTCAGTCCAAGATGACAAGCAACACGACGCTGTGCACTGTGCATGCTCTGTTGAAACAAGAACCTTCGAACTCTCAAAATGCAGGATTCTCTGTATGCGTATACATTCTTTTCTTTTGTTCAAAATTTCCGGGGCCCTCCACCACGG